CACACACACACACACACACACACAAAGGAAGGCTCCCTTCCTGACACCCAGACCTGCGACCCAGTCACCTGCCCCACCTGTTTGGGCCCAGACCCCACCCCACGGCCACATTTCCAGGGGCCTCTGGGGCATAGGGGAGGGTTTCAGCTGTGACAACAGAGGCTTTCATGAACAGGGGACAAAAATCCCTGGGCAGTCTTAGCCTGAGGGTGAGCCAGGCCTCTAAATTTAAGTGGGAGAGGGGGGCTGTGGGTGCTGGAGGCCACAGCAGAATAGCTCGGGAGGTGGCAGAAGGGGCTCCCGGCCCAGGGAGAGGAGGAAGCGCTGTGCTCTGGGCTCCCCAGTTCTGTGACCTGAAGCAAGTTAAGGAAGGTCTCTAAGACCCACAGGAAACTGGCAGAAAGAGCGCCTCCTTCAGGATTCTTAGCACAGGGTATGACTGGGTCACAGCCTCCTTCACACAGCGCTGGGCACTCATGGCGACCACGTGTTCCCCTCCAGACCTTCTGGGGGCACAGGGTAGAGTGCTCCTCGCTGGCCCCCCTCCAGCACAGGATCAGGCAGATCCGTGGGACCTAACAGACCCACTCAGCCTGCACCTCTCAGCCAAGGGGAAGTGGGACTACTTATTTATCTTTAATTGGCCTCAGTTCTTGGCAGCTGAACTGTAAACCACAGGGGCAAGACCATACCCACACAAGGACAGAGTTAGACCAGGAAGCTGGGACTTACGTTCCTTTGCTGGCCTAGGACCAGCCTCTGGTAAGCCAGGTTGGGGGTCCGTACGGGAGGTCCAGGTCACCGCTGGGTCCCATTCCAGGCTCTGGGCCCAGGTATGAGCTGGTGGGCGTAAGGGGCTTATGTGGGGCTGCCCGGGGATGGATGAATGTGTTAGTGCATGCACACACACTGACACTGACCGGTATACCCTCTTCAGCCTTCTGAGTGGGATGCCTGCCCCCATTACTCAGGCTCTGACCCCCAAAGCCCCAGGCTCTCCTTCAGTTAGGTGGAGAAATGTATCGAAAGGAACTGCCGCAGGGGATCCTAGTCCTAAGCCCTCACATGGACTGACAGGTACTGAGGACCTGGCATAAGAAGCATCAATCCTGGGGTGCCTGGGTGGCTCGGTCATTAAGCGACTGCCTTCAGCTCGGATCATGATCCCAGGGTCCTGGGATCAAGCCCTGCATCGGGCTCC